TGACTCATCTGCAGAAAGTAGATATAGCTGACTAAAGTCAGACACATTAATATCACTATCTCACTGCTTAAAAATTGCTGCTACCATCTGGGCACTGCTAAATACTTACTAAAATTTTTAAACCTCTTACAGGTGAAAGGAAAGGCCTTGCGTTTGTCACAATATTAAATCTGATTTCCCCCCGCCCCCTTTCCTGATATGTCAGCATTTAAAGCCAATCAGAGAGCTGTCTTGTCTTCTCTTCTTTAGATGTTACTGATACCTGTTGGAAAGAATACAGAAACTTGGACTCCAACAAAGATGTTAATTCTTAACTTTTCCTCAGTTTTAATGCCTATCTCGTGTTTGTGTATGTGTGTTAGATTTATGAGTTGAATCCTTAACAATTGGTAAGAATTTAAATTAAATTGACAAGAAATGTCAAACAAAGATAGCGGTTTTTCAGGTGTTCCTATGGTGTTGCTGAACAGTACTTCCTTTAAGAACTTTAGAAGTATTTTACTTGAAAATAAAAAATGCTCTCGTAACATTTTAAATCTTGCTAAATACCAACAGATGATAGAGTCCTAATGAGGCCAACATGGGAGGTATGTGTATAGTGGACTAGAAAACATCTCTAAAAAGGTTGCACTTCTGTGATATGATACTGCCTGGCTTTCAACACCAGTAGTCTCCAAAATCCATGCAATTCTTGGTGGACCTATATGGGACACACTATGTTTTCGCACACTATGGTTTTCTCTTAAGATCTATGGCTACGTATGGAGAGACTTCGTGGGACTTACCTAGCCCTAGACTCCAGCATCTTTGAATTCACCCTAAAAGCTTCTAAAAGAAAATTCCACGCCAGGAAAGAGAGGACACCTCAATCAAAAGAGAGGATCCCTCAATCAGGATGAAGTTAGGAGAAGATTTAACAGAGTTATTGGTGAGATGCGGTGTAAGAAATAATGCATAAAACATTTCTTTGCCTAGTGACACTGTCATCATTGTCCCTCACATGTGCTTTTCCAGCTTCTCTGTTCCCCCCTCAGGGTTAAAAATAAACAAATTCCTGCAAGATCAGAAAAGGAAAAAGGATGGAAATCACAGGAACCATCCTACCTATAGCCTCATGCTATTCTACTACTATGACTGACATTTCATACTCCCCTGTGAAAGAAATACCGTATGCCTCTAAGGAATAACAGTTCTTTCTAAATACTAATGGGGTTACAACACTTTAAGGACCTTCCGCTATTTCTGATGACCGTGATGGAAACAGCACCTGTATCTAAATGTAAAAAAATGCATTCTTTTGGAGCAAGGACATAATCTCCTTATGGCTATGACGAAAACATGGAAAAATCTCTTAGAAGTGTCAGAAGCAAGAAGTAACATTTTCGGAGACATCTTAGTCACTTATGGGTCTAAGTAGTGACTGCTACCACTGGCAAGCTTAGGTGTTGGGGATCTAACAGATACATGTTCTGGCAGGATGATTTTTGACATAGGTACCTTGTTTGTTTGTGCTGCCAGTAGAAAGAGGTGGGCAACCCTGCAAGAGTTGCACAGTCCCTACATTAGAGAACGGTCTATCCAATAACTATATATGGAATTTGTGCATATTATGCATATTAGCAGTGCAACTCAGTACTCCCACGTGATGAGTTTGTAACTGTAGTTAAGGTGCTTAAAAGACAGGAGTCAGAAGACACTGTCTGCACAGATACCTGACACTGGTCAGCCAACATACAGGAAAGCCCCAAATCAATGGTTGAGATCTATTAGCAAAACAGGAGGAGGTAGTGGCAATAGTTTGGCATTACGTTACTCATTGCAGAACACGCCCGGGACACAGACCTGTAGGGTGCTAGGTTCTCTCTATCCACAGGGGTCAGGTACAACTCGTTGCCTACCAGGACACCACGCTCCCTTACTAGCCTATTCTATGTGCCTGGCTAAGGGGAATTCTCTGTTCTGTTTGTTGAAGTGGATCTACCACACAGCAGAGAATGTAAGGTTTACAAGTCCGAGGAGAGGAGAAACGAAAAGGGAGAGTCATGCAACTGCCTGAGACCAGTGGCATTTCCCTCTGAAGGGAGCACTCTTGGTCTAATCATTCACACGTTGCCATATCAGCATTTTTCATTGTTTTATTTGTTAAATTATTTAGTGAGAAAATTTTTCATATGCATAATAAAGAATTCTGCTGATCTTTCCTCAGCTAGATATTACAAAGACAACTGGAGGCAAACATAGCTACAATACTTAGCAGAGAAATGAATTAGCAATGAAAGAAATGGAAGAAGAGATTTGCTTGACTTTGGTCAGCCTAGAAGTTTGCTGTCTAGTCGAAATTCATCTCCTCAGTTCACTTTGTAGTCAGTGGGAAAAGATAAATACTTCCCAAAGAGTTATTGATCCCATCCACTCTCAAAATCTGTTTAAAGATGAATTGTTCTGTTTCTCTCCACTTAGATTTACAGAGCAATTTGTTGGTAAAAATATCCAAGCTGTAACGGGTGAAATATAATCTGATAAAAATACCAGGTACAGCAACTTATTCCTTATGGACTTTATGAAATTAATATCTCTACTTGAAAGTAAAGCAATTCAATTAAAAATTTTAAAAATATTGGAGTAAATGTCTATCCTGAATTTGTAAAATGGTAGAAATATCTCTACTACCTTATACACTGTCCTTATACAGCATTAACATCCTGTGGATGTTATAGTGAAGAATTCTGTGTAAAAAATTCTTATAAAAATGTCTTGCAAGCATATAGAATCACTTTAATGTTCGTAACGCTTCACTTACTCCATATATCATATCTGCTTTCTTCTTCAGTCTCTAGAACTAAAGATAATTCTCATCTATTTTTCCATGTCTTTTACAGTTTCATGAAATATAAAGCATAATCTAGGGAACTGTATGAGTTCAATTTAACAAGAAGGAGAAAAGAAAGTACTATCGGGTTTCTTGAGACAAAACAGGTAGCATGAAATGAAATAAAATGCAGGCATACTTTCTAATTGTATTTCTTGTAACGAAATAGTCACTGAGAACTTAGGCTTCTTAACATTTATAGTAGTCTTAAGGAGAGGTAATCTCTGAAACTAAGTTACATCAATAAAAATAAGACAACTTATTCACACACATCCTTCAATGACAATGAAAGCATTAAAATGAAAGCTTTCAACAAATGCTCCTAAATATGCAGGATCTGATCTCTTGCATCCAAATGGACGTTTCTATGCTGATATTTAGAACTGACCTCACTCCGTTCAAAACCCATGAGGTATATTTTTCTTCCTGTTTTGGAAATGGGAGTTCCAGGGACAGGTACGTGTAAGATGTGAATGTGCATGTAAAGTGGGACTTGGATACCAGTAACTGAAATCTATGCAAAATTAAAACCTCATGCTCTGAGAATAACAGAAGAGATTAAGATAAGCAGGCAATGCTCAAAATCATCGAAAAAGCTCTTGAAAGGGATTGTTAGAACTGCTGTCAGTAGCTGGACATAAATGAAAGACAGATGCTTAAACTAAAAGGTCAAGAAAAAACAGCACCTGACACTCATATCTCAGAATCTCTTTGCTGGCTGCCATCTGAATATTTGTATCAGAAGTCTCTGCAAATCAAAATAAATATTTACCTTGTAAATCTCTGCTCCTATACTGCTTTGACATTCCCTTTCCCCTCTTTTTTTTTTCCCTAAAAGAACAAAGAGTTCTTATCGTCAATAATTCTGGAAAGGAATCAAGCTCCACCCAGAGTTTTCAAGTTACCAGAAACTCTTTGTAAAGTCAATAGAGACTATTTAGGAATTACAGAGGGAATGTTTGATTATCAGGGAGCAACCTAGGAAGTTCTCAGAGCTAACAGTTTTCCCATTTCCTGAACAGAAAAAAGGTATTTGTGAGAAAACTTTGTATAAGAGCATCATGCTTTGTTTAGAGCACTGAATGCTACTGAAATGTAGTTAAACAACAATTAATAATGGGAACAAGCACTGTAAACTGCAACCTATTTGCGTAAAGGCGAAAAAAAGACTTGTTTCCTTACGCAGTCAGTCATAGCAGTTATTCGTACATGACTTGATTCTTGTTGAATAGTTGTTAAAATGAAGACTTTATAATGTAAGAACAGCATATTACTCAGTTAAGAGGGAAACTAATGCCATGAGCAACAACTCAGACATGTCTGCTGTAGTCCTTCTATTAGAAAATCAAACGTAATTGGCAGCTCCTGTATCCACTGTAGCCGTTTGGCACAAACAAGTGAATTTGCCCCAGAAATGTGACTTGTCTTTTGCTAAGATAGAAGAGCTTTTAAGTCTGACAACTGTTTCTGCCTTGCTTTCTGCAAATGTGAACCCAGCCTTGTTGTGAGCTGTATTAACAGCTTCTAGAGTAGGATTAAGTTAGCAGCTTGCCCCTTGTATTTTGTTTTAGTTGCATGCTTCACTCTGAGGAGCCTACATTTTTGTTACATTGAAGCTGGCAAAACTGGCGTGTAAATCTTGACCTGCAAACTTCCTAGTGAGGTAGAAGTTAACCGCTGCATAATAGGTATCTTAGAAAACACATTATGCTTGAAGCCGTTAGTAACTACCCACTGATGTGAATGGACTCAACTTTCAAGTAACTCAACTTATTCAAGTAACAACTAGTATCTCAGTATCTCTAGTCATTTCTACTTAAATATACTGGAGAAACCTTTAGGTAAAGCTTGACAATATTAAAATTTCTTAACCCTCAGCCTTTTGTCAAAAGAGTATTCACTGTTATAAAGATGTACAGATACTTCATCTGGCAAAACCTTGCATTTTAACTGTACTAAGTCAAAATACTAAAAGGAATTACCTTCTTATATTACCTTTCTTACCTGAAAAGCGGTATCTGTAACAGATGAAAGTTATAGTCAGCATGAAAAAAAAAGAAGTACAATATTCATTGCTTACAAGAAAATACCCTGAAAGGATTACAGCATTCCCAGGAAAATTTCTGCTTACCAGATCCACTGCTGCTCACTTGGGTTATTTTTTCATCATCTTCATCATCGCTATCACAGTTTAATGGCTGAAAAGCTATTTCTGACTCTGTGTCTACTTGATTAGCATCTGGCTCTTGCTCAGCAAAGCTTCGCAATGCCACAAGGCGGTGATGTATTGCTGCATACAGGTATCCAGTGTCCTTTGAGCTTGCCTGTAGAACATAAAATGCATACAGTGCAAACTAACCAAGAAAAATCTCTATTTTTCACAGAGAAGCTGACTAAGAAATTTTCAAAAGTAATGAAAGAGCTGTATTTTGTCCTTTTTAATCAAAACAATCCATTTAAGATTCACACTTAATAATTAATTTCAGAAAATAAATTTAAATACAAATAATGTCAAGTTTCTTTAAGTGGTCTGAGTTTTCATTATTTTCTCTATAGTTAAAAGAAACATAAGCTTAAAAATTATTTCCCCTAAAGAATGGCTCAGTTTGTACTGAGTATTTGATATTCCAGACAATTCCTGAATATGATTCTAGAAGCAATAATGCATCAAAATGTTAATATATGTATTGCATTTTGGTTTATAGAATAAATGAGAATTTTAAAACTACAAAAAATTATTTGTAATTATACAATTTAAAGATACCATGAATTCTGCTGCTATTATTGAACATAAGATGAGCATCATCAAGAAGGGTATTGAGAACTAGACAAGGCAGCATTTTGCCGGTACATAAAACCTTTGAGCACCCATGTCCTGAGTACTGTGTTCTGTTCTGGTCACCACATCTCAAGGATATAGCGAATTAAAGAAGGTAAAGAGAAGGGCACCAAAAATGATCAAGGGTGTGGTGCAGCTCCTCACAAAGAGTTGAGACTTCTCAGTCTGAAGAGAAAGATGAGAAGGGGATGTAACTAAGGTTTTCAAAATTAGAAAAGTGGTGGATAAACTGAATATGGTATGGCTGTTCATCAGACCACACAATAAATGCACTAGGGTACACTTAAGGAAAGCAGTAGAGGATCAACGTAAAAGAAAGTGCTTCTTCACAGAGTGAGTAAAAACTTCTAGAATTTGTTGCCTCAGGAGAGAGTGGGGACAGACAGTATAAACTAAAAACAACAGGCCAAAAATATAATAATAAAAGTTTAAAAAATGAAACTAGAAAAATTCAGGGACAATCATTTCATAAAATAGATAGCAAGGGAAACAAGTAGGCATGCATGCTCTCACATGCCTAATACAACACCTGGTCGCTGGGGGTCGATGAGGTGAACACACCATAAAAAGTGACCATGCTTGTGCATTTGGGCACTGTCACAAATGCCAGTAGAGTACTTCTCACATTCTTATGACGCAAATCATCTACCAGAGGGTAACTGAATGCATATGGTCTTCTGTAACCCAATTCTACACTTCTGTGCATCATGTGCCGTAATTTCTATCTGTATCACTTAGCAATAGGAAGAAATACGTCGTTTGGATTGGAATGACACGTTTCAGTGTGTACAGGTGGAAAAGCTATGCGAATTGGGAAGCAGCAGCAGATCAGGGTTGCCTTCTGTGCTACCCAGACTTGCAGCAGCAAACAATTTTCTCCCTATAGCCCGGCAAAGAAGAAAGCAATTCAGAGTTGTTCAGGTGTCTAAACTACAAATGCAATTCTCCGTGGACAAATCCGAGCTCTCCAGATAACGTGGCTTTTCAGAAAACATAAGGTCATAAGTATGAAAAAGGCAGCTATTCAGACTGATCATTTCTATCTGTACTTATTCATTCAAAAGCCACAGTTCCTCTGTCACTTTAATCTAACGTGAACTCCAGCTTCTGCCAAGAGGGGCGAACTCAGCTCCATACATCCTCTGATTCTTCATTTCTACCCTCTCCAGTGTGCCAGTACCACCATTAGGGTGATCACAGGTAAATCAAATCAAGCTAAAAAACTTAGCTTTTTTTCCCTTAGCAAAAATGAACAAAACCACCCAGATCAGTTCTCTGTGGTACAAATTGCAATGCCTCCAAAAGCAAGGAGGGAGAAACAAGCATGAGGGGAGGGGGTGGGGTCAGCCCTCTGCACAAACCTGGGTGCGTACTACAGGACCAACCTAATGGAGTCTTGTGGACTGCCTCCTTTGTAGTCGGCATCATATGATTCTTCGCCCTCACTCATGAGAAGCCCTTTGGATAATATCCCTGATCCGGATGTATCAATCATTCATGTGACATGGGAAAAACAAATTTAAATGGCAGTTAAAAATATCTGCTGATGCCTTGGAGGAGTGGGCTCCACTGACTATTAGACCAGCCTGATTTATGTGCCAAGGCTTTGGTGATGCCTGCTGGGCATGTCACGCATTGACCAATTTGCCTTCCACACTCAAGCATCTCAGTGTTAGTTTGGCTGGATACCAGCTGTAGGGATGGAAGCCATTCAGCCACTTCAGCGACGACTGTAGAAGCAGCTTCCTGCAACCCTTGCCACACACATACAGCTGTCACGTATCTTGGTTTCCTCATGCATCTCTTTTTTTACTGTCCAGAAGTGCCAGGACAGAATTTAAAGCATGTTTACGTCTATATATCCTAGAAAAACTGCAGCACATCTGGAAATCTAGGATATTTCTAATTCTCACATGCAGACCAGCTGTGCAGCACAGCATAGTTAAGTCAATCACTGTTTGGAAGTGATAGACTTAGAGTGCTTGCATATACAGTGCATGATGCTATGCTTGTGTATGACATGTGACACTTCCTGGAAGTGGTGATTTATTTTTCTTGCCCCGGAGGCTAAACCCTTCCCAGAAAGGTCTACTGGGGAAACCTGAGACACCCTTAAACTCACGTGGATGCTCTCACTTCCCACCTTGGACATATGTGCTATTTATTTGCAAATAAGTCCACCACATTTCCATCCTCAACTTACCAGCCCTTGCTAGAGAAAAACAGTATTCCCAAGACTATTGTCTTACATAAGGTGACATCACAAAATCTGTGTTCTCCTCACCTGAGGAATGGAGGTCCCACACTGGATGGATTATTGCAAGCACTGTGTCAAGAACCATGGCAGAAAGCTGTGGCCTTGTACCAAAGTAACTTATGAATATTTAACTACTTGCGTAGAAATTCTTACAGTGTTGCTTCTGTAAGAAAGACTAATTGCTCCATATGACTCTGTGATGATACCCATTCCATCAGTGGTATGTGAAACCATTATGTCTGTCCTAAGGCCATATCCCATCTTCACATCTGTTTTTTTTAAATACCAAGGGACAGTACTTCTAACTCATTTCATAATAAAAGCCATGTAACAGCTAAGCTAAGCATAGCCTGACAGAGCATTTGCTAAAACCAAAGCCTCAGCAAGTCTGCAGAATCCTAGATGACATGGGGATTTGCGTGGGGTTTTTATCTCTTGCTTACCTGAATTAGAAATACTTGAACAGAGTGGTCCCCTTGGTCTGTTGCAGTGAAGCACAGGCTCTTTCTGTTTGCTCTTTTTATAACCATTTGATCCCACAGTCGGGTGTTGAGAATCAGTCTCAAGCTGCCTTGATTTCGCATAACTAAAATAATAAGGTTTATATAAGTCATTAGAACCATCTTCATTTTTACTGCAGCAGTTTTCTGTACCACTTGTATACAACTAATATTTTCATGAATTACTCTTTTTAATTTAGTCTAAAACCTGACATGATGAGATTTTTTTTTAATTACTTTTTAAAATACCAAAATATATTGGTTCTTTCAGTACATCTGGCATAGAAAGCAAATAATCTGCTGTAACTCTGCAATACAGTACAAAAAATGACAGCACAGTAAAAACAACATTCCAGAAGTGACTTGAAACAGTGTTCCTGGAAAAGCAGAATCAACAAAGAGCAAACTGTGAGACTGATGACTGAGCTAAAGACACACTGCAGTAGAAACACACAGAACCTAACAACATATGCAAGCGTGAGTGTACAAACTGAGTGAAAAACGCCCAGTGCCTCAGTCCGTAACACAGCTAACTTTATCAGGCAATGTTAAAAAGATTCTCAGCAACTTGATTTAAATAAAACTAGCTACTCGGTTTTAAATGTGTTGAAATAAACTTATTCTGGCCAGCAACAGTATGAGTTATTTAGGGTTTTGTGTATGTGTAACTTTGTTATTTAATTCTTACTTAGCCTTGACTGCAACATTCCACATTTATTGCTAGAAGTATCATTAAGCCTCAGGGATCCTCTCCCTCTTTCAGTCCAGGTTAGAGAAAACTTATTAAATACAAAGAGCTTGCAGCTGATCTGAAAGAGAAATACATGATGGAAATTGCCAGCCAATGTTAATTTTATTGGTTCTAAAATTTTATGGTTTTAAACCTGTTGATACAGCTCTTAATACATCCGTATGCATGTATATAAAGATAAATATACAGATGTATCACCATTATTACTTAAAATGAAATGGCTCCCAGATCTGTGCTAAACTTTCTGCTAGTCACGGAAAACATTCAGCATGAATCCCAGTTTACTTTTTCAATTATTTCATCTTCATTAACTCTTCATCTGCGATATCTACTAACAGAGCTGAATTTGTTGCAGGTGTTCTACAATCTTATTCCCTCACTCATTAGAAACATTATGCAGCACATGATACCAGTACCACTAATAGGAGAGTACTACTCCGAAGAGAGGAAAACTTCCATGTTCTGACAAGACAGAAGATTTAATCAATGATAAAATAATGTAACTTTCAATGTTAAGATTTTTAAAATCATATGCATCATTGCTATTTTCTGAGAAAATAACAGTTTGAAAATGACGAATAGCAAGATACATCCTGCTGGGCCAGAAAGATAATTGATATTTTAGATGAACTATAAAACTAATTACTTTGACAACACATCGCTTTTTTTGCAAAAAAGTTTTGTCATAAAAAAATGTTTACTCAAATCACTTCCAATTTTGAAGTTTTGGTTACTGCTGATATACTGTGTAGATGCTTATAAAATACAACTGTAGAATGAAGTTCTGAAGCAGTCACTTACTGAAAGGGACTATAAAATAAACAAATGTAATATGAAAAAAAAAATATCAGCCTACAGAAAAATGGGTTAGCAGAGGCGTATCTTAAGAAAGTGAAAATTTAAAATAGAAACTGAAGTTATTTTCAGATTGCTGCAATCTGTAATAGATCTTATCTTGATGTTCTTTTTAACAACAAAACTGCTCACAATCAAGGCTTTATGAAATACACACCTGTAATACATTGTGTTCTGCTTCTTCTCCAGTTATAACTTCAACTTTATCTAACAGAATTTTCTCCACTGGCTTGGAAATACAAGCAGCTGCTGATTCAGTTAGTGTTGCATTCCTCAACAAAGCTGTTTCTGTAGGGGGAAAAAAAAAAGGAAATCCTTTGTGAACAGGGAGTATTTTCAGGACCACAAAAATAGCACGTAGGATGGCCTGTGACTTCAGTAATCGCTGTGGTGTCTGATATTATTTAGTGTTATTAATAAGTTTTTGGCCAAAGCAAGTAAATAGAAGAGAAAAAGAAAAAGGCTGGAATACTGCAAAATGTCTCACTTGTTTAGGCTCATATTGAATTGAACAGGGCTCTCTGCAGTTGCAGAGGTTTGCCCCAAGAGACAACTTGCAGAAGCAAGTCCTAAATAATTAGAAGTTGATTTTCCAAATGAAACTGGTCTGTCATATTGCTGTGAATATTAATAAATATGTCCCAATATTCAGAATAGTAACACATATACAATGAATATTTGACAGGAACATGAAAGGACAAGATTTGAAAGGAACAACATTGTTACAAAATTTTGTATATTTTCATAATCTATATATGTTTTCCATAGGCTTTAATTTTTTTTTTTTTTTACTTGTAAGAATGTTCATACAAAGTAACAGGATCCAATACATCCATTAGTGAGGAGGGGTGCAAAATTTGGCAAGAGGGCTCAAGATAGGGGCCTGCTTGGGATTCCCTCACAGCCTAGGTTTACATGGCTTGCCTAGTAGAAAAGCTCACACCAGAGTCACAAACAACCCCAGAAATCTGTCAGTATAGAAGTTTGAGTCCTACAATTAGGATACAAATATGGCAAAGTAATTTATATGAGCAGTCACAAAATACAAGCAGCCGACAGCTTAAATTTGTAGTTCAAAAATGCGGTCCAAAAGGCATTCACAAAGTTCACTGCATTTTTTTTCAAATAATAAATAATAATAATCTGTAATAAATAATAATCATCTGTAAAATTCTATTCTATCCTGAGTAACTTAGATCATTCATTCTGAAGTTAGTCCAGTTCAAATGTCATAAACCAAACTGTAGCTGTTTTCTGAATACAGATTTTGGCACATACTGCATGTGTACTAGTGACTGGATAACTTGAGAATAGATGAAAATTATTGACCGCCACTCATTTAACATCCTCTAAGATATAGGCGAAACATATAATAATACAGTTAACTGTACTTGCTTGCTGAGTATGCTTACTTGTTTGTGGACTGACATAAAAAGATTCTATGGACATGGATGTTATTTCTCCTTTGTCTGAACCAGCTTCATTACACAGCCTGGGATGCTTTTCAGGACTCTGTTAAAAAACAGAGGAAGTAAGAATTCCTATTTAAATAAAATGGCTATGTTACTTCATATCAAACAGAACACTGAATCATTTAATGCATGCTAGGCTGACGATTAGCAGTTGTAGTATCTTAAAGAGTAAAAACTGACCCAGATGATACAATTTCAGTCTCTAGTGGAAGAAATTTTATTATCATAAAGTCAGTACATCATTCTTCCACGAAGAAGAATGGCCTCTTTGTATGGATCCTGCACTAGGATTTAAATCTACCGAAAGACTTGTTTAAGTACCAGCTAATTTCCAGTTTAAGCACTTAAGCCCCAGAAGAATAGTTTAAAATTCCCAGGCACCACAAACTTAACCTCAGTGGAATTAAAAATTTCCATGACCTTCAGTTTTCGCCGATAAAGTTTTTTAATCATGTGTAAATAAATGCTTCTGGCTCTTGACAATGCTCTGTGGCTCAACTCCTATCTTATAACTAAATCCAGGTCAGAAGTCATAACCCAGACCTATGGTTGCCAAGCTTTTTCACTGGCAGATATGCGTACTGTTTTCATTCTACTCCCACTAGAAACTGAATTTAAATTCAATTTTAAATAGTGCAGTCCTCAGCTTGGGAACCACCTTTTTGCCTGAGTTTCGTTCAGGACTTGATCCATTAAGCTGTCTCACAGCATGCACAATATAGTTTAACATGGACACTACCCAGGATGGGTGTTCAATTTTCCCCTCGTACTAATTTCTCCCATCTCCTAACAGTTATGGTAGAAACTATTAGAGCAGTGTGGACCACATTCTTTTATCTCGTACTGTGGCTGTCCCACTTTACATGGAATATATAAAAAACCCTTTTTCAGGTCAAAAGTGAGCAATGTAATGGGTTAGTATTAAAGTATGGGTTAGTAATTAAAGTACTTAATCTGCGATGGGGAAGATAAGCATGCCTACCCCTCCTACAGAAAATATTCAGATATTTTCTCCTCAACAGTCATTGGAATCTTATTTACTCACATCTTTAAAAGAACAGGAGGAGCTAAAAAGAATCAATCTCTGAAAAAAATTTTACTTATAAGTACATTAACCTTGATAAAAAGTCTGCCAGCATTTACAGATCTTACCAAAACTCTCTCAACCATGTTTTCTCCAAACACAAAATCAGAATTGCTGCTGTTTTGTACACTTCGGTCTTCAAACCACTGACTTCTGTGGGAACAAAATAACATAAGAATGTCATTTAGAAATACTTAGAACTTTGTCAAGAATATAAATAAGTCCATGCATTTACTTTACCACACCTTACATTAAAGACAAAAAAAAATTGACACTTAAGTAATCAGACAAATTCTTTAAGAGAATCTGAGAACATTCTCTACATAATGTTTCACAAAAGGAACAGAGATCATCATGCTGTAGTTCATGAAGATTATTGAGGATATTGCTTCCGTAAAAGCAAAGAACAGGAAGCAAAACAACATGCCTTCTCCACCGGAAAGTGTCTTACTCCAGAAACTTTAATGAGTCACATTTGTTTCCCTATTTCCTTTTGCTCCACCAAAAGAGTACCAAAATTAACAATTATCCCTTCATGTTGGTGCAGCTCTGGTGCCCTTCAGAAGAACGTACTCCCCAGTGCCTTACAGGCACTCCTTGGTCATCCACCTAACATCTTGGAAAGGCAGAGAGGCAGTGTATTCTAATGCACACACTTTCAATTCACATAAATGCTGCTAAAATGTAAAGGTATGATAGCAGATGGCTTATGATGAACATAAGATGGCTTATTCCTGAACTAAAACAGGAAAGAAAGACCTTCTTTCCATTTTTCAATGACCCATTCCATAGATACAGTTAAAATGAGAAGTGAGGAAAACTAAATATTTGCAATCCTTTGGCATTGGCCAACTATAGTTTGGAGATACAGATTTGAGAGAAAGTTTCATACAGTAGGTAAATCACTTTACGTTTAGGATCTGGAATGTGACTGGTTTTGGCAGAAGTTACATTAAAACAACACTTGTTCTTCTTCTCTTCTGTCCCTTTTTTCTTCTTAGTGTCTCAGGTTTTCCTGATAAAAACGATTTTTTTTCTTTTTTGCATTGCTACCCTGAGTTTAACTACTCTCAGTTAGCCTCTTACTTCTCAGGAGGTTTTAAGACAAGAAGGTGAATGCATTTTTAAATAGTGACATAGTCACAACTTGTAAAAAGTATTACTTGTGGATTACATTCAAGAATATTCTAATATAAGTAGAGTTGTGATTTGACCTGCTAATTACATAGCCACTTTAAATTAACAGGATCCAGTTTTTATAAAAGTCACCAGAAAAGTCCTTGTAAACTTATTTGCATGGAAGTTGTTCCTGCTGCTGAGGGTTTTTGTGTTTTTTTTAACAAAAGTCTTATAGGTTGTTCATGCTTTCTGTAGAGCTTAATCACTGCACCTTGCTGGCAAAGGCAAAACCATCCAAGTTCTTGTCTCTTTCTGTTCCAGAAGGACGACTTGGCAGGAAGACGATCTGATGTTCTGTCACAAACTGCATACTTCAGCACCAGTTCCCTGCTCTTCCAGATCATTTATCAGCCTTGGGAGGGCTTAACGGTACTTAATAAGCTGGGTTTGTTGCCAGAACTTTGACTATTGCTCTAAAACTTAGTTTCTGTGTTCACAACTACAGTGTGCTTGAAATCTCTTCACATAGGATGAACAAATTCCCAAGTACAGGCTATCTCCATTTTACACTTAAGGAAAAAAATATTCCTTAACGTTCTCATGCTTGACGTGTTGCTAAGACTAAAAGCAAATAAGAAACAGAAATCAGAATATCCGTCTCTTTTCAGCCTTGAAGCCTTTCATACGTGTTTGGGGCCACAAACAGGGAATGTCAAGTGTGTTTAAACTAATGAGCTTCTTATCCTTACGAAAACTCCCCACTAAAATTCACTGAATTGTGATCAATTTCCACCCTGAAATTTCATCTGCCGCTTCTAGGCTGCTCCAGTAGCAACTTAGTAAGGATAGCACCCCAGAAGAGCTAAAAACCAGATACTAGAGCCTTGTATCAAAGAAATAACGTGGGAAATGGATTTTGATTATTTTCAGAAATGTAAGTAAAAAGTAATCAGTGCAGGATATTTCTTTTTCCAGACAGTTAACTGGAAGTGCCAGCCTTAAAGTCTTACTAAAACCTCAATACCCTTATGTTGCTGCAGGACAAGAACAAAGTGTGCCAGGGATGACACTGCCATGGAAATGCAAAAGAGAGGCACTGAATTCAGGGAATGACCACTAACAAGGAAGAATGAGAGAAGGAAAAATGTGGATAAGATACTGGAAAGGGACTATGGAAAGGGAGTAGATCCAGGTATTGTTCTTCTCAGGGTGTCCAGAAGAGTCTGAGTAGCTGCCAGTTCCAGTGCTGGCCTTGAACCCTTGCAGTTTTCCAAGCAAATCCTTGTGCAAAGCTGAATACATGACCAGAAGCCTGCGTTTTCCCAGCATTATATTTCTGCCACTTACGACACAAACTTTTTTTCAAGCTTTTAATCAGACTCGAGAAACTGCAAATTTCTCCTTTTCAGTTCATTACTACAGCCAGTTCAGGAAATGGAACTGTTGGTGGTTTCCTGGGACGTGGACAGCTGCAGCAACTACAGAGGGCTAACAAACCATTTTCATTCATCTCTATATAGAACCGTATCATATAGAGAAGAAGAGGTGGAAGAGGAGGCAAAGTAAGAGGGACATTTGCAGGCAGCAGCAATCCCTGCTGTTGAATTTCTCTGCATTTTATTTTTTGTAGATAAATGTCAATAGTTACACCTTGATCGATAATTAAAAACAAATCTAAAAAAGTCTTTTCTTAGCAGTGAGCAGGTCTGGCTGCGATGTTCACTATTGTTTAGCATGTATATCGAGTTTAATAAAGTTGGTTGTTTGAATACTTGTTGTCAAGTTACCTATGAGAAAACAGCTATGCCAAAAAGATTTTACTGAAGTATTTTAAAACATCAGTCACTCAATACAGATCAGAAGAATGGCACTTCCCTGCAATCTCAGAGGAGCAGTAAGCACCTAGTTGTATTTAAATTAGTTTTCAACTTGTCAAATAAACCAACATTTACCACAATTATGAGGTACAGAATTAATATAGGCACTAATTTGAGGCACAAATACCCCAAGCAGATTAGCAATTTCTCTTTTAAAAAAGAAAAGAAATATCATAAGCACTTAAGTCTTACAACTTGTCAGCACTAAAACACTGCACTGCATTTCTCTATCCATCTACTTCACAAGAGAAAGCCACTCACCTATCTTTTCCTAGATATTGTGCAGGTGACAGAGGTAAACAGACTTGGAGTATTGATACCAACTGATTTTGAAGTCGGTACCATTTTCTCCTTAGCTTTATGTGCATTACCATCATTCTGAATCTGCTAGAAATCCAGCATGCTGCGTGGCTCCATGTTGTCCTCACAGGGCATCATCACAGCATTAACTGTGATAGAAAAGGACAGGCTGGCTCTTCCAAAATCACAGTGAGCATCTGCCCTTTATCTTCTTGTTGATAAGGATTAAGAATCTAAGTTGTCTTAGATCCCTTATCTCCTCAGAACTCTGGCACTGTGCATCCCAAATGTTGTGTGCAGGAATCTTTATCTGCGGCCCACCCAGCCCTGAAGAAGATTGGAACAGACTCCTTTGCAGTTGTGTTCTCTGCCCTCTTTGGGTGGGAAGGGGAAAGGAGCCAACATCACAAATGCGTTATCTGTGGCCCTACCAATTTTGAAATGTCGTTCTCTCATCATAACTGATCTCAGGTGTATTCCTGATGCTCACAACTTCCAGGTCAATAACCCTCATCAACCACCAGCAAGCAGCATTAATACCCACAGGACAACCTGCTGGCTAACATTCTCATGAACCAGTCTCCAGAGAGAGGTAATAGCCCATTTTTGCAGGGCTATGAGCTGTTTCAGTCATATACAGAGGCAAGGGCACAGGGCAACGTGCTAGTCCAAGGAAGTCAGCTTCCTCATGCAGAAGTTCTGAAGTCCGTGCTGGTCAACCCATGTCTGCACAAAGATGCCACCCTATCACAATCATCACAGCTAGTTGTTCATGCCAGAAATTCTGGCATGTGCATGGAAGTAGAGCGTCAGTTGCAGCATTCACCTTGTCTTCCAGATCAGTCCTGTATGGTTTTCTTCATGTCTCCTGTGTCCAATATGCTGACATATTTTGATAATTCCTGAGTTTCTCTGCCTCTGTTTATGAGATGCAGCAGCTATGCAATCAGAAGAGAGTTCTCCAAAGCGACACAAAGATGACTGTAAACACTCAAAACCAGGACATATTTTGAACTGCCAAAGCTGCATGAGATGGCAAACCAAAATAGTTTCTGGCTTGGGGGTTGCTAATGAGAAACAAACTGTCCCACACAGATTAATTCCCGGCAGGAGTCCATTTCTTAATCATAGAGCTTATGTCAGTACCCACAAATCCTGGCACCACACAAACACCAGTGAGCACTGTGTGGGTGTAGATAGCATGGGCTTAGTACCATACTAGACACATAGGACAAAAGGGCATGCCACAGGCGAAGTTACAAAATGGTGTAGAAATATAATGAATAAAAACTTACTGTGTTGTTTTAGAGCTCAAAAGATTCATGGTAGTAGCTGACCTCGCTGCTGTTTTGGAACTTAGTGAATTCTCAGCTGAGGAATAAGAGCTGTCTTCAGATAGCTAGGAATAATAAAACCAGATTAATCAATTAGGCCAAGCTTATTTTCTGCTATAAATAGATCTGCTGGAAGTCCAGAGTCACCGAGATATGTATACGTATGTGGTAGTTGGCAAAGCTTCCTCCAGCTGCGTACTAAGCCAGTGCCCTTAATCAAAATGCTAAAATGTTACTTTCTGAATAAACAAAATCCAAAAGACCCCGAAAGCTGATCTGCCCACAGAACCCTGATATCTGAAAGTTGAGACAGCCTGCAGAGAAGAGATGTTTTTTCAAACACAGTCAGCATGAGTTTAACAGCTCACACCACGTCAGTGATCCATCGATTCCACTGAATCTGATATGGGAACTTTCTTGAAAATCATGCAGTGGAATAATTAACTGCTTTAAAACAGCACTGTTTTTTTTAATTTGAGTTGCAAACATATATTAGCCAGTAAAATTAATTTTCTTTTTACCT